TTTTTTTTCCATCTATTAAACTGCTTACAGACTGACATTGTTTACAGGAAAGCAGGAGTTGTTACAGCTGACATTCTTGTAAATTTACTTCATAGCTTAGTGTTGAACATTATAGTGATGGGTTCGTTTTTTACTTTAATGTTTAGAAGAAATTTGAATGATAGTTTTTTAGGTTCAGATCGTAATGAGTGATTTTTCTATGTAATATTAGAGCACTAGTATTGGGGGTTGGATATCTTTCGCATAAAGTACATGTATATGCTTCACATATGTCGAGAAACGTAATAAAGTTAATAATGGGAACGTTCGAAATGATAATATTTCGAGAAATTTTGGAAATTGTAAGAGTCAATGAAGATAATTGTGATATCATGCATCTGAGAGCGTTCTGAAATATCAATATTTTGGAAATATTGCATTTACGACCATTATAAATATCGTAATATATTCCCGGTTTCATAGATTACGTAGAGAGGTTAGAAGAAAGAAATACGCAAATGATTATAATGTGAGAAAATTCTAAAATAAAGTGTCCGGCATAAATATATAATGATTTCATACGCTATCAGAGACATTAAGTCGTAAGATATGGCAGACGGCCAAACAGGGCTCAACTGAGCGTAACGATGCGCAGTAGTCCTTTGCGCACTCTTGTCATAATGTACACTCAAAAACTAACATTAGCGTAAACTACGTAGCTTGGGCCCCTCCAAGATACAGATGGATGAGCAAAAGTCTACTGCGCATACCTAACTTAACCTAACCTAACGTAACCTAACCCAACCCAGCTCAACCCAATCTAATCTAACCTAACGTAACCTAACCTAACATCAGCGAATGCACCCCTGAGGTATAGGTGGATGCGCAGTATTTCATTGCGCATACCTACGAGTGACGTCATTTACGAAGCTGCTATTTAAAGGAACGTTATATAAGGCAGTCGTAACATGGAATATAAATCGAAATATGGCGTTATGTATAAAATGGAGGGTGTTTACAGTTTTTCCACCGAGAATATCGATCTGTGTTCTTATATTCCGAGGTTATTTTGCTACGTGATAGCTTAGATTGTGTCGAAAACGCCGCTCCCACTTCACGAGTTTACACATTCCTGACCGTGATACAAATGATTACTGAATATCAGATATTATGGCATTATGGTGCCCTCCAGTGGCATAACGTTATGACGAAAAATCTTAATTATCAGTGAAATCGTTCCCTTGTTTCTCGTGGATGGATACGTGACCAATTCAGTGATTCCTTGGCATTTGTTTCGCCCGAATTTACCTTCCTGGATTTGAAGTAGAATAATAATATAGACGAAAATGGGTAAAAATTATTTTTAAAAATTACCGTCCTGTAATCGAACTGATAATGGAATGATTTTATTTCAGTCATGTTAAGAGGTTGGCTGCCCTGTCTGTGTGACGTAAATATCCGGTGCAGAAAATGAAGTTACGTTTCTTTCCTTTTATGAAGAGGTGTTTGTAAATAATAAGACGGTGATATGTGTGTATGTTTATATACATATATCTAGAAATTTTGATTAATTATCTGCGACATTGGATATCTTTAAAATTCAGCAAAATAGATCAAATATTAGGTTTAGTTACTCTTATGCTGAAGGACGTAGTAACATAGACTGAGGGTGTTTGAGAACTGCGTGTTGAGAAGAATATTTGTACTGATGAGAAATGAAGGAATGGGAATTTTGTTGAAAACTACATAATGAGGAGTTTCCTGACTTTAAGTCTTTGGAAGTATAATTAGAATGACCCAGTAAATGAGTATGAAACGAGTAGGTCATGTTGCACGAATAGGGGAGGAGATGAATGCGTATAGGATATTGGTAGGAGAGCTAGAAGGAAAGAGACCGGTAGGAAGAACAAGACATAGGTGTGCGAATAATATTAAAATGAATCTTAGAGAGACAGGGAAGGTATGGTTAGCCTTGATCTGGCTCAGGATAGGGACCTGTGGAGGGCTCTTTTGAACATGGTAATGACCCTTAATATTCCATAAATTCCTGGGAATTTCCTGAGTAGCTGCACAATTGGTGGCTTTTCAAGAAGGGCTGAACTCCTTTTGTGAGTGAATAAGTGAAGATCAGTACATACCATCACATTGTTGTGTTGCTGCCTCTAAGCAATGATGTGCACACTGGGGCAGATACTTATTGCTTACTGGATGAAGTACTGGGTTGTAATAATTTTTCTAAGAACGAAGTTGAGATACTTACTAAGGGGAAACTCAAACTTGTTTTTACCTGTTTAAAACTGTGGTCTTTGTACAGTTAAAGATTGATACTGAGGATAGCTATGAAAAGTTTGATGCAGCTACTTTCAAAATACACTTCCATCATGGACATTCATTAAGAAGGAGGAAGAGAAGGGACGAGAAAGGTATTAATGAGGAGGCAAATTTTGGCAATGATTGTGATGATGATTAGGAGCTGGAAGTAAAATTGACTTAGATCTCCTGTTAAAAATAATAATTTTTAATTGTACTTCTTACAAAAAATTGAAATTTGTTCATACGACTCGCTGTCATTGATTTTATGAATTAAAAATTCCTGAAACAGGTTTCTGCATCATGTCCACGGCCATAACATAGCTTCTGATGGATTTACTGACATGTTAATACTTACACCAATCATGTGATGTTTCTTCTGCATGGGGGGCACTTTGAAAATCTTGCACCAGTAGAGTGTGTCCATGTTGTCTGGAATTGTGAACTGAGAACAAAATGGATACTACTGTTAGGCTGGTTTTAGTGCAATGTGCAGATGCATGTGAAGAATCTGTACCGTCTCTTATTTTAAAGAAGAATGCGATATGCAGAAGTGAATATCTTTACACCATGAATATGTTTTCAAGTATATTTAATTTATCGGTACACAGTGTTTTGGCGGTGGGCAGTAATTTTGTCTCCAGGTGATTGTTATTATTTTATGACAGATTTCTTGTTGAAGAGACCTATGTTCTGTGGTGGAACGCCGTGGAGACCGGTAAAATTTAAGAGACGTTTTGGAGTAACATATTGCTTTCATCTTCAGGGTTGAAGTTTAAGCCATGAAAGAAATTTGCGTGAAGTAAGCAACAGACACAGGAAACATGTTCTCCGAAACGTCAGTTGACTTTCACTGTACTTCACAGCGTTATATTTCAGAAGATAAGGTTCTTTGCAGCGACTGCTGTGAGAACCTCAGCTCCAGATTTCATGATTTTGTCGGAATTGAACGTGTAATTATTTGATTAAGTACTTAACTTGAACCCTAACATTACGATGTTGAGGTTCCGAGTTCAATACCGACCGCTGAAAGTATTATAAACAAAAAAACTCCGTGGCCTGTAATCCGTAAGTGAACTATACCGACCGAGCGACCGCCGCTTGTCGGGGAAGTTGGTGCTAATTTATATGGATAGAGGATGTCACGTGGTCAGCGCAACGGATCCCCACGGCCGTTAATCTCGGTTTTCTATACAAAATATAAAATCTAACTATGTCCATGAAGAGCCGGACTGGCGTATTCGGTACAGCGACTGGCTACAGGCTTGAGGGGTGTGAGTTCGAGTCCCGGTAAGGGCAAGAATTTTCTCTTCTACACCTTGTCCAGACCGGCTGTGGGCCCACCCAGCCTCCTATACAATGGATACCGGTGGTTCTCTTCCCTGGGGTAAGGCGTGAAGCTGACTATTCACCTCCAACTAATTCCGAGGTGAAGAAAATGTGGATCTATACATCCACTTGCCCGTACGCCTTCATGACGTAGTGCGTAATTAGTTAAGCACGAGGATAACTTTACTTACTATCTCCATGGAGCAGATTCCTTCTTAGGAGACGACGGCTTCTCAGCTGCTCAATATATTTCCAGCATTTTATGGAATTTGAAAGTGTGTTATACACCTATATTCTTTGTAAAATTTCGTAACGTATCAGATTATACAGTGAAGGGTTCTTAACCCATAAGTACCCAATCTCAAGGACCATCGCTTGATGACTGTCCACTATTGCTGATTTAAAAAATTATATTTACAGTACCTTCATTCGCAGTCTGGAGTTGCGCTACTCTGTCATGACAAGGGACTCACTTAGCATGCAGACGCATAAACAATAAATATATCTGCCAGAATAATTACACCCTCTCACCTGAAGCTGCAAACAAGGGGAACAACCGAAATGTCACATATACTAAATATACTCCAACAGTGGAAAAGGGATGTGTCTGCTTGCCACCTGCTTTTACGCTGGTTTCTTGCTTGGTTTAGTCTTCCACCCTGAAGTTGGAGACGACATATACCTCCGAAACGTCAGTTGACTTTCAGGAGACAAAACTCTTTGTAATGCTGAACTGTTGCCACAAACGTCAAAGAATTATTACATATCATTACTCACATTTTGAAGGGTTACGTCCCAGTGTCTTGTGTGCGACCCGTGAGGTGCTCCCTTTTTGACGGGCGGGGTCAGTAGGTGCAGGGGTCGAACCCCGCGATGTTCCTTGCCGTGCCAAGTCATGCCCACAATCTCCCCACCATCCAACGTTGGGTCCGAATCTTGGGTTGCCCATATCACTCGTACAGTATCTCCCTGGCAACCACAACAATTGTCTTACGGAACTGTAATCTAATCAGGCGACATTGCGGTAAAATTCTAGGTAGTCTAGGTACACTGTTCGAGTATCGGAATTATTACCCGCTGATATGACTGAGTATTCTAGCAATTTCTTTAATCTCTTAACGTGATTTACAGTATATTACAGTAATCAGACGACCGCATTCTTACCCACGTTTGCATTCGTTTTCTTTTTTACTGGCGCTGCTGTTCTGTGTCTCTTGTCCTTTCAATGGTTTCGTAACAGTGAATTTTTCCGGAGTGAGGCTGTTAGCTCCACACCCAAATCCTAACCTGGAAAACCCCGGACTACACTTCGTTTGTCCCCTACTGTTTGACCTGCCTGGCGTGGGTAGCTCTACCAGGACCTTATGCTCCAGCCAGCATAACTCTCCGCGTCACTGGAGCGCGCAAACCTCCTCTTCAACATACATAACCTTATCTACTTAACTTTTTTACGTCTATCATTTTGTGATCTTAGTGAACTCTTTAATGATAAGAGGTAGGTAATTTGTTTCGAGGAATGATATTGACATTTCAGTTCGAAATAAATCTGGGCGTCTCTTAACACTACATTACTGTTCACGTAATTTTTTGTTTCCCGACATAAAACACGGATACTGCTCTCTCACGGGAGGCAAGTACACCTAGCCAACTAACTAGCTAAAGTAAAAATAAAACGTAAAGGTATCCCTGTAACAGGCCGTGGAAGCCCATAGGGTTGTGAGATGTTGAGGTTTCCACATTTTCTAGATAATCGGCTCATAGATGGCGGTAAGGTTGTCAGCCCTACGCGCCGGCCGCCCTTTACCCCGAAGAATATTCCCGGTACTCGTTCATGTTAGAGGCTGAGTCGACCCCAGGGCCATAGTGCTGCTGGAAGGATTAGGTCAATTGAAAAAATCCAATGACCTCATCGGGACTTGAACCAGCGACCTTCCGGCTTGTAGCATAGCGACTCAACCAACTATGCTACCGCGTGCTCCCCCCCCCAACTAACTAACTATAATTTATTGAGAAGCTAATATTCGTGCCGCTGGTCAAAAATATTTCCATCTTGTGGAAATATTTATTATACCTTCTGTTTTTCACGAGAGGCCATACTCCGATCTTCTTTTGAAGGAGATGAATCCAGTCAACACCTTCATATCCCATTTTTCGAAGATTCATTTTATTATTATGCACCCATCTATACCTAAGTCTCCCAGTGGTCTGTTCCTTTCATGTTCACCGATCAAAATTTTCGGATGTGAAGTGCAAGGACAGACATTCAGGCATTTAAACGTGTATGACGTCTTCAGTTGCATTCGTTACATGCAGTTTTGTTCATCGAATATACAGTGTGTGCTTCGATGAATTTCGGAGCAGTTAAGACTCACCCCCAGCACGTAATCGTGGTTTCTGTCACACGTATCCAGAGCTCGTCGAAATCTAACCACGGTGTGGCTCTCGTTCTGTCGGCCTCCGACCAGAGAGCAGTCCTGCTCTGGGTCAGCTACTGGCGCACCATTTGTGTTCTGTCCATGCGAGTCCTGTGCAACAGACACAATATACACCTGTTATACTTCCTGCCGCTTGCATGGAGCGGATCTTTGCCTGTAAGAGGAAGAAATCATGAAGAATACAGAAGAACATGGAAATCCACACTAAATAAGCAACACGAAGTATAAAACAAAGTATGTAAATGACAGGAGTCCAACACGCAGCTGCATACGAATGCCAGATGAAGATAAGATCCACTGATAATGACTATAATCTATTTCATCTACGCAAATGGTTCTCTGCTCATTAACGAACGACATCCTAAACCATGCAACACTTAACTAGCTCCAGGGAGACGAGTCCTTCTTGAGAAGCTGTTAGTTTGCAGAGACCCAAGAACTTACCATCAATTTATAGAAACCAAAGGCTCATTAACTTATTCACAAGAGCCCGCCACTGGTCCCTACCTAGAGCCAGATTAATCAGGTCCATATCACCTCATCCTTTTTCTCTAAAATTCATTTTAATATTATCCTCCTACCTACGCCTAGGTCTCCCTAGTGGTTTTCCTACATAAAACCTACACTCATTCCTCTTATACTCAAATATGCTGCATTTCCTGCCCCTCCTCAGTAGACAACACTTAGCAGCTGAAGTAGAAATTTGGGATACCCGGCAATCCCCTTGGAATCGATATTAAACGCCAGGACGTATATAGCCTTCGGGATGGGCAAAAATTCAAACGAGCACTGCATAAACAAGGAGGGGCGGGTTGGGGGTACGAGGTAGCGTAGTTGGTTGAGTCACTATGCTACAAGCCGGAAGGTCGCTGGTTCAAGTCCCGATGAGGTCATTGGATTATTTGTTCAATGAACCTAGTCCTTCCAGCCGCAATATGGCCCTGGGGTCGACTCAGGCTCTACCAGAAATGAGTACCAGGAATATTCTTGGGGGTTACGGGCGGCCGGCGCGAAGGGCTGAGAACCTTGCCGCCATCTATGAGCCGATTGTCTAGAAAAGGTGGGAACCTCAACATCTCACAACCCTATGGGCCTCCACGGCCTATTCAGGGATAGCTTTACTTTTTTTTTTTTTACTGCCTCATAGGCAACTCGATGGCTAACTATTTGACAAAGTAAACGTGTGGGCTGCATCTCTCTGCTACCAAAGATTATATCTAGCCAGTTTCGATCCAAAATTAGAAGACTCGAGGGGCACAAAAGACTCTTTTCTACCATTAAGTTTAGGTTAAGAAAGAAAGCAATACTTTCCAGTCTCCCTAATGTGGTAAGTCTAAACAACATTTATAATGGCAGAGGGAACAATTTGGATAGCAAATCTGTACAGTGATTAGGCTACGGGCTGGACGACCGGAGTTCAATTCTCGGTATGGGCAAGAGATATTTTTTTCCCCATAGAGTCCAGACCGGCCCTCGGTTCCACTCAGACTCCTACCCGAAGGACACCGAGCTAAAGCGGGAGGGACTGGAAGCAGACCACTCACCTTCATTTAGTGACTAGGTCAGGAATGGTGGAACAATATCTCCACTCCCCCATACGTCTTCATATCGTGATGCTTAATTAATTAAGCGAAATGACACCTTTAACTTGATTACACACCCTTCCCAAGGTATTCACTCTAATCCTTTCTTTCGATTCCATATAATTTAACACTGTCAAGGGCAACCAGAAGCAAGCAGTTGTTACCGCCCCTGCAGACATACTGAGGTTTACAGTATCAGTATGGGTAACGATCACATGGGTGTTGCGATATTTTTGGAACTGCCTGTAGAGCTAAAGCTCGCCTTGACAATAGAAGCTACACCTTCTGACTGACTCATATCACAGTAACTTCCTCTCACTTTGTAGAGGAGGATGAAGCTTCATGCTCGGTTTGTGGCGTCACAGAACACGTACCTTTGTTCTCCAAGCAAAACGCTTGCTTCTGAGCCCACCTATCTCCGATTAAGGCCTTCGTCCCCCAGATACATTTTACTAAACATTGCGAAAAAGAAACGGCGAGACTCAATACTCAATACTCAATACTCAGTATTGCTTTCCCATTCCGGGAACTGAATTCCGGCCCTCCAGCCCGTAGCCCATCGTTATGCCGACTGAGTTATTCCTGCTCATATAATTAAAATAACATATCCAATTTCACATGCCGTTCACGGTAGCAGAGAGGTCTAAAGCATGCATTGTCTTCGCTCGCTCGGAAGCCGGGATCGTGGGTTCGAATCCCACTCAGGGCATGGATGTTCAGTGTTTTTGTGTGTGTGTGTTTTTCTGTATTTCTGCACAGGTAGAACCTTGCGACGAACTGATCACCCGCCCAAGGAGTCCAACAGAATGTCTAAGACCTAGTAAACCGAAGTGAAACGGAGAGTTTCACGGAGGCATACCAAGGCCCAAACTCAGGCTGTAGAGCAAAAGAAAGAAATCCAATTTCTCATGTTCCAGTCTTATCACGAACGTCCTGCAAAAGGAGGCGTAATTGTCATTTAAGCATCATCATCCTTGGATACAAAGGATGTACCTTACCCGGATAGTAACAGGCTGAAGGATTTCATGGTGTTCAGAGCAGTGGCAGAAGCCGGGCGAGGCGAACACGAATTGCGTCGTCGTACTTTCCGGTTTGCATATCTGTTGTGTCTGCGGTTAAAAATGGCACAAGTCGCGAACTCTGTAATCGTGTATGCTAATTACACATTTGTTTCTTTGTTCTTGAAGTCCGATTTTTAGCTGTTGATACATTCATTTATTCATTGTGTATTGATACTCTTGAGGCACGCGACAGAGTAGTTGGTTGAGGCACTATGCTACAAGCCGGAAAGTCGCTAGTTCGAGCCCAGATGAGGTGGATTATTTCAATTGACCTAATCCTTCCAGCCGCACTATGGCCCTGGGGTCGACTCAGCTTCTAACAGAAATGACTACCAGGAATCCTACTGGGGGGAGGGGTAAAGGGATGCCGGCGCATAAGGCTGACAACCTTACCGCCATCTGTGAGCAGATTGTTTGGATAAAATGTGGTAGAATTAAGGTCTCACAACCCAATGCATCTCCATTGCTTAGCTTTAAGTGATGGGATTATCTGTAAATAATGAATTGAATTTGAAGGAAGTGGTCATGTTCAAATTCTGTTTGCCTAGTAAACACTGTCCATATACTCGTACATGGACATATTTTACCTAGTTTCTTAAAGACGCTATTTTAACTGAAGATGTTAGCGTCCATTGAGATGGAAGATGATGGTGAATGGTAAAGAGATAAGGACAGGGAATGATACAGCCGTCGCCTATTCTAAAGGCTACCCTGACATTTTCATGGAGTGACTGGGGAGAACTACGATATGGCCTATCTCAGTCACGATGACTGGCAGCACGACTGGGATTCAGATACAAAGTCAAGAGCCCTAACGCCTCCCTCGGCGTTACAGATCTCTCCATTGAGAAGCCATGGGAAATATAAAAAAGTATCGTTATTTTTACACAGTTTGCTTAAAATTTCGCAAAAGAAAAGACCCACGAAATATTATTAATTTTTCATTAATTTTCTTCTGTTTTTACTGAATTACGTGAGACACTTAATGAATTTATTTAAAATTTATACTACATTTTATTATGTAAGTACACACTCTAAACTTCCCTAAAGAAAGGAACTCTTGTTACATTCTGCATGGTTCATGCAGCTACAGAATTCACTTACTTATTTACTCATGGAGCTGAGCCCTTCTGGAGGAACCGCCAAATCTTCAGCTACTCAAGAATTTCTCAGCATTTTATGGAACCCGAAGGTTCATTACCGTTTTTACAAGAGCCCCCCACTGGTCCCTATCCTGAGCCAGATCAATCCAATCCATACCATCCCATCCTATCTCTCTAAGATCCATTTGAATATTGTCCACCCACCTACGCCTTGGTCTTCCCTAGTGGTCCCTTTCATCCTGGCTTTCCCACCAGTATCCTATACGAAACCCGCGTCTCCCCCATTCGTGCTATATGCCCTGCCAACCTCATCCTCCATGACTTGATCATTTTAATTATACTTGGAGAAGAGTACATGTTGTGAAGCTCCTCACTGTGCGGTTTTCTCCAACCTCCTGTGACTTCATCTCTCTTTGGTCCAAATATTCTCCTCAACACCCTGTTCTCAAACACCTCAGTTTATGCTCGTCCCTTAATGTCAGAGACCAAGTTTCACACCCATACAGAATCACAGACAAAATTATAGTTTTGTATATTCTAGTTCACAGTGATTGTGATAAGAAAGTCATACAACTAAGGAATCAGTTTCCAGCAATGCACTGTGCTTTCTTGTTAGTTATAGGATGGAAATTACTTTGGATGTAAACTAACAAATTGGGGCGTAAGGATAAAGGATGTTGGACTTGAACTACGAAGCTTGTTTTAAGTAGTGGATATGGGCCATTATTGCAGTGAGGTGCATAGAGTATTCGGCGATTTCTGGCCACGTGCAGATACTTCTTTTGTTACCCTAATGCTTCCTCCGTTTTGCATACAGAAGGTAGTAGCAATGACCTGGAGGTCTCCTTCACGCACAACAATGCGATTTTTTTTTTTTCAGATTAAAAATCTCGTATTTTATTTTATTTATTTTCTATAACGAAAAGGACATCGAATTCCTAGATTCGTGCTAATATGAAAATATCGTGACTACAGATTCACTGAGGCATTCCAGGGTAATATTGATATAGTCCCTCAAATAAACAACGATAATTTTCTCCTATGCCATTATTCAAAACCTTCCCCAAACGCGTTTATGGCGAATTTGCACACACTGGTCCGTCATTCGAAGCTAATAACACGACAGTTTTCTAACTCGCAAATCAGAATATTTTGAAGAGTGATATCCTAAAATGTAAAGACTTGTAGTCCGGCAGAAGTTGACAGACGTTTCGACCGAAAGTACGGCCTCCACTATCATTGTCGAAGAATAAGCCAAGCAACAAGAAGAAGGCCGGTGAATTTCTGCCAGACTACATGGCGTTACATTCAGGAGGACGGAATTGTTATAGTCATTGCTGTGA